GGGGGAGGGGGGGAAGGAAGTGTCATGCAATTTGCAATAAAATGATTTCGTAATCAAATTTTTTCCCGAGATGCACCTTTCACTGACGGAAATTCAACTTTTTCGAAATTGGGTGGACCGAAAAGTGCGTTATCTGATGATAAGTGTCGAGCATGAACAGGCAGGAAGTAGGGGTTCGTGGAGTTTAGTGGTAGAAGTTCGACATATCATTGCTGAAAGGGTGGGCTATGGTGGTTTTATGCTACAATGAGTAGGGATTTTGAATTGGCGCCATAGGAACTGAAGCGGCATTATGCCAGGGTGAAATTATTCCGTCGTTTTCGGTTCTGTTGTGTGGTTTCGATACTTTTTTGTCGCTGTTGATTCTCGAGTTTGTTTTGCACGGTTTGGCAAGAGTTTCGTTTCAGGAGCTTGGCTTGGGACATTAGTGGCACGAATTTATCTTGGCACAGATACAGTCTTTTTCGTTCTTTTATTACATAGGTAAGATTGAAGTACTTTTTGGAGACGCTTAAAATAAGGAGTGGAAGAGGACTAACTTTTAGCCGTTCCGAATTTGGCTGCTTCGCACATTCTAGAAATGACTAGATATAACTAAGGTATTTGCTACGAAGAAATGATATTCTCTCCAATTTAATTCTTACGTTAAATGTTTCTTCCATTTCTACCCCCATTTCATCATCATCAACTTTTTTCTTTCATTAATTTAATGAGCCGTCGAAAAGATTGTCTAAGTGAGGAAGACGGGTAATTAATCTGTTTTCATTCAGGTTTTTTATCAGTAGGGTTTATTTTTGTTCAGATCTATAAGTGTGATGGATTTCTTCCCTTCCCCCACCCTCTCCTTCCCACCAAATGGGCCAGAAATCTGATGTGAGTTGGAAAATTGAAGTGTAAATCAGAGTTTAGGATAGTGTGTCTTTCTAATCATTCATGTCTTTCTGTTTATAGCGAAGCATCAAAATGGTTTGGCCATTTAGTTCGACAAACTCTACAGCAGCATCATCACCTAGCTCGCCACAATCTGATATGCAATCAACTTCAATATCTGATTTAACAGTAATGGATTCTTCAGTATCTGGCTTGGGCAGCTCATTGGATTCTGATAAAGGTAGTATAAGTATGGCGGGTCTGGACAGATCCCCAATATTTGCATTAGATCAATTGAAGCAGGCTGGCGTACCATTTGAAAAACAGCTGTCGCCTTACCTACAAATGGATCCTGCCGTTTTTCGAGAATCTACACCTCAGTAAGTTGTAAAGTGTTAGATAAAATTTGTTTCCTTATTTTTTACTTTCATTTGTTATTCGGAGAAGAACGTCAATCATTGAAATCTGAAGGAGTCTACAACTTCTTTTCTATAATCGTGTTATCCGGCTGAACTTTGTGCAGTTTCTTTGTTTTAAGAGAGGAAAATTGTTAACTGGAGAAATTAAGGAGAGTAGCATATGAAAATCTTTATTCGCATAAGAGCAATATTTACGTGGCAATAATATTGCATATTTTCATGTATATTGTTCCCGGTGAATCGAAAGGAGAATTAGAATTTGCAATGGGGCGGATTGGGTGGGCTGTTTTGAGCGGCTATGCATTGGGTAGTCTGCGCGGTATCCTACAAGAATTGTGGAATCCTAATACGAGGCAACTGGTGAGGATCGGTTTTGCTTTTGTACAACTTTTTTATGGTATTACAATTCATATTTTTGAATAATCGATGTAATCGCTAACTGTTTTAAGGTTTTTTTTCTTATGAAAGGATGTGGAAAAAGAAAAAATAATCCAAGAACGATGAATATCTCTCATCATCTAGAATCGTTTAAATTCCAAATTATGCATTTTTTGTTTAGCCTTTTAAACCTTTTATGACGCGTTTGATGAATTCCTCGGTAAAACATGGCAGTGGTTTTGCTCATCCAGCTGGTTCCATTGTTTTTATGTTCTCTGTTGCTAACATGATTTTTGGAAAACTGCGTGCGAAAGATGATCTTAATGCTGTTGGTAAGATTTCAACTATCAATTTACGTAGTCGTTTGATTGAAATTTGTGATAATCGTAACTGCGAAGTGTCAACAGTTTATACTGTTTTAGCTGCTGGTGCTGTTACCGGAGGACTCTTTCGAAGCGCACGGGGTTTACATGCTTCAATGACTGGCGCTGGTATGGGAGCAGTCGTAGCTTTTATTTGGTTGCTGAGTGATCAGGATAGCCGAAATAGATTATGGGAAATGCGAAAACATTTAATTGGCAAGCAGGATTATAGTTATTGATTCGAATTTTAATTCCGTTTATTAGAGTTTGTGTGGTTTGTTTACGCTTTCGTTTGAAACTTCCAGGCATTAATTTATTTAGTGTTCGGAAAATTGAAAGTTTTTGATCGTTATTTCAACTTTTTATTGCAGAATAGTTATGTGCTTTGTTAAAGTAAAATAAATTATTTTCTATATGATAATTTCTTTGTTGTTTTACCTTTCCATAAAAAAAGTTTGTCAGTATGTCTTTTTTGAAATTACTTTATATCGGACAGATGATAAGTCACTCCCCTCCTGTTTAGTAATGAAAGGTTGTATCCATAGGATGTAATATAAGTGAAAGGTTTCAAATATCACATTGGATGGGAAGTCTGTTTATTTACCCTAATTTTGATTGCAAAGTGGGAATATACTATTTTTTCATTCACACCTCATTCATACACAATTTCGATTTTTTTTCAATACAAACTTAATTTCGATTTTAGATTTTCTGAAGAGAAATATTCAAAGTTTTACTGAGCTTTTGAAAACTTTTCTTAATAAGAGATATATCATATACAATGCTCAATTTTAAGGTAAAGTTATATATTATTATAGATTTCACCATTCATTCAACAAGAATCAACAGTATATTTCAGTTGGTGTCGTGAAAGTGTGATGACCGCCAGATATCTTTTACTGCCGAGCTGATTTTGGGGTAGATTAACCCAGAGCAAATCTTATTAGATGAGGTACTATTGATGTGAGGGGATTTATGGAGGAGTTGTAAAAATACAGGACGATCGGAGTCTTTAACCTTTATTGAAAACAGCAATTTAAGAACAGCAGCGGTATGTAGAAGCAATGAAGTTCAAAAAACGACAGTCCTGACCCCTCTGGGGTTAGGCTTATATATCTTAGAGGATGGTCGTGGTTTACAGTGAACTTTCAAGTACCGTACATAAAGCGGAACTTAAGGAATATAGACATGTCAGAAATGATTTATGGTTTCATCCGCATTAAGATACAATGACNAAGAAATTTATCTCACTATTTGTTTGAGGTTTCGTTTTCACGACAGTTGGTGGAGATTAACTTATGAATTGCTTTGTGTCAATTTGCGTGTGTCAATTTAAAAGATGTCTTTCGGCAGATAATTAATCTTTACAGCTTCTTCATCACTAATATGTTGTTGCAGTCTAGTTAATTTTATCATGGGACCGGGTAAAATAGATTGAGTCTAAATTTAACACGAGATTGTTTAATTCTTCATCCTTCTTCAATTCTTAAATGTTGTAATTGCTTTTCAACTAATGCCACACACTGCAAAGTATCGTTCCGACAGAAAACGCTATGTGCTTTTTATGCATTCCACAGAAGATAATTCCATGAATTTGATTTGTTGATGTAATCAATGCTCTTGCAACTGCTTCAAGCTTTTCAGCTTTTTGAATTTGTTGCTATTCAAAACTGATTGATATTTTATACGCGCACGCTGTTTAATATAAGCATTCGCTTTTATATTCCAATGATGAAGCGATTGAAAAGTGATGACCCCTTTGACTTCTTGACATGCGTTTTTGTCAAAATTAGTAAGCTACTGCTTCAAATTTTAGTTTCAGATAGAATACTTTGCATAAGGTTGCATATGGATGATGATATCGTTGATCTCCTGGTTGTTTCAAGCGTTACTGGAATCGGCTTTATAGCTTTAATATATTTTGTCACTAAGGTTCATTTCTTTTTTTTTTCAAATATATAATTGCAGAACTTCAAATTTTTTCATTTATATGGAATTGTCTTCCAATTGGTTTTAGACAAAACACAGCAAGGTTATTTTACACAATCTTACTTAAAGTACTATCAGTTACAATTACTATCAGTCTCATGAATATATTCATCTTAGAGGTTGGCTTTTCAACTGATGCTTCACATATGACATCAGAAGTCTATATTAGTTGTTCGTACACTTTAACTCTGCAACATTAACATAAATTAACATTTCGTTAATTGCTTGAAAATGATTAACCTGTAGAAATATCTCATGGACAGCAAATATAAAAGAAATTTCTTTCGTAGTTTTACAAATTGCAGCCTAGATCAATTGTGATTATAATGTATTACAGACTTATTCTAACAAAATTAAGAAGCGTTTGCTGTGTTTTGAAGACAAAACTAAACATTTTATCGCTATTTCAAATGTCGTTGTTGTACAATGCCCAAAATCGGTAATCACCTTCCAGAAGTTTAGTGAAGCGGGTGAAGGGCACACTGAGAGCTCAGGAAAGTAAGTTGTAAAAATGAAAAGAAAGGAGATTTTTTTTTTCTTACTGTACTCTTATTCAGCTTGAATATTTTGTTGTATGAATTCCATTTGATTAATAATAATTGATATCTTCGAATTATGAACATATAATGACTTATACCTGAAAAACGATGTATTGTGTCTGAAGAGAGATTAAGAGAAATTAAGTAGTCTTTAATCACTTCAGAATTCTCATCGACTCGATTGAATCTTTAAAAAAGCAGTCAACAAAACGAGGAGGAAGAGAAGTTGAAGATAAGTTGGACAACAAGTCATCATTCAGTTCATCGAAAATGGAACGGCTGCCTTACGCTTTACTTTCATCCATCGTAAATATTTCAGTGCAAAGGCGGAAAACGCTGTAATATAGAATTAATAATTGGCAG